CTGTGCCCAGGAACTGAACCAGGGCCACCAAAGTGGTTGTCTTAAGCTCTTCCAAAGAAGACTTAGAGCCTATTTTTACAGCACATCACCAAGGCTTAGTAAATGGGAAGAGAGAGAGGGAGGGGGGACAACAGGAAAGAAGGTCCATGCTAATATACAGTGATGCTATTCTAGGCTGAGAGTTTGGTGAGAAAAGTACTTTGTATTCTTTTACCAAATGAGAGCCTCTTTGAGGACAGAAAAATAATATAATAGCCTTTACCTTCATTATATATGAGGAGCTATTATTGTAGGAAGTCAGAGATTGATGCTAACGAATGAGGTACGAGGGTTAAGTGAGAAATATTATAAGGAGGGGTTAAAGCCTGGTGTCTGGTAGGGAAGATGGCAAGTAAGAACAATGAGAAAAGAAAAGAAAATGTCCTGATTTAAGGCTACATATCAGGTACTCTGGAAGGGTGCCCTGTGTATGTTATCTTTGTATATGTCACCTTATTTATCCTCAATATACTCAAAATGACCTAAGCATAGCCATTTTACAACTTGAGAGAGTGAGAAATTGGCATTTCAAGTGACTTGCCAAAGTCACAGGGGCAAAATGGAACTTAAATTTAGGAGAGAAGGGAAGCCTAAACCAAAGCTATAAGAGGAAGCCGGTGATAACGAGTGAGATGGGGGTGGTGTGAGGCTGGGTCAGCCCAGGAGAAAAGTGAGGGGTGGCAAAAAGTGTAGGTCATCTGAGGATTTGGGTTTAAGAGTGACCAACCCCTAGAGGTTATGTAGCTGTCTGCCTGGGACGAAGGGGACAAGGCCTATTGGTACGGAAGGTGAAGGAGAGGAGAGTAAATAGGCTTAAAAAATGAAGATAGATTTAAAAACAGAATTAAATATCTTGTATAAAAAGAATTGAATTTTGGCACAAAAATGGAGGGTCCCTGCTCCACTTTTCCTGAATTAACAGAGAGCAGATGCATAAAACACACTCCAGGTGTTCCTCTGCCACAATGAGGCTTTCCGGACAAAAGTCTATGTCCTCCAGGGAGGAGTCTTCTGTGACATGAGGAAAGGGGAAATAAAGTGTGTGCTGGAAATGAGCTGCATGTCTGAACAAAAACCCCAGGTATGGCTCACCTGAACAGATTTCCCATTCTCCTGATCCAATGGGCTGGACTTCCAGGGCAAACTCCACTCTTCCTCTATGAGGGCCCACCTGCCCTTCAATATATTTGGTCTCAGGCCTGGTCTCCAGCTCACTAGCTGGAGACAGTGGCTAACTTGCCTTCTTATTTTTCATGACTCCAGACCTAGCCCTCTGCTTCCCCCAATTTTGCCAGTTTGTCCCCTGGTATACACAAGCAAACCAGCCTCAACAGAACATGCTGCCTCTGGGCCTGCAGGAAAAATGGGGCCAAGAGCAGAGGATCTCAGGAAGTGCTCTCTGAGGAACCAGAAGTCAAAATCTGAGAAAATACAGAACAAGATGATGCA